CCCCAAAACCCCAAAACCCCTTATGGACATATTAGGAAAGAATAAGTGAGAAAGATTTAATCTAGTATTAAATTAATCCACTATTGTCATGAAGCATTTAATTTAATAAATATATTTGAAAACATAATTAATGAATAACCTGATGATGATACTACTTTTTAGTATATATTCACTTTTTGGGAGAGTATAGCTAGCAGTCGAATCCAAAATAAATTTTCCTTTCATGACAGGTGGATACACAGGGGACACAAAATTTAATCAAATTAGGGTCTTTAAAGTGGAAAATTTATTGGTAATAGGATATTCAAACGATCAATCAATAACATAATCTGATGATAGTAGTCTTTCGGTTCCATTTATGCTGTTAATAGACAATAGAGGCTCAATATAATGGTCAGTTAAAGTTGAGTAAGCTTAAAATTAATAGTTTGAAGAAATGAGGATATCTTTAGACCAAACTTCTGCTATTGCTATTTCATATTAACTTGGCTTTAATTTATATGAATTTGATATGTCCTATGACCAACTTTAGATTAGCTGGCATGCTTAGGGTGATGGAATGGATCTGCTATCAGATAGAAACATCGATGTATAGTACTGTAGAGATTGAAATGACAAATGCTTTCATATTGCTTTCACGAACTAAAAAATGAATTAATTTATTTCAGACTATAACAACTATTGCCCTTTGGTACTTTAGTGCTAACTTTGAATAAGTAGTTCATCTTATAATTTATTGGGTGACCTTTAAAGTAGTTATTTGTACATTGTAGGTAAATCTACATAAAATGATGGCAAAAATTTGATTCTCAAAATAAAAGACGATTTAGACTCTTAAACTTTATATATTGGCTCTTTTGTAAATTAAATGCTCACATACAATCAATAAGTATCTAAAATGGCTGTATGTAATAATGCAACACATGCTCACATTTATATGACAATGAAGGAGTTCTTTCCTGATTCTAAATAAGTAGAATCGTTTGTTTAGTTTATTGAGGGTATTGATAATGCTAACATATCAGTTATTTAATCTAGGACAATGAGAGCACCAAATTTTAATGTTTCAACACAAGATCACTTCATCATTAAAGATATGACAGTAAGAGAAAGTACTTGTTTGAATATTTAAATCTTAGCTCTTAATCCTGAAGAAAAAGGTAGAGAACTCATCTATTTATAATATGATCTGAAAAATGGGGTATATTTGATGACATATATTGAATAATTCGAAATTTCAACTGCATTTATAAGGATATGGAACACTTTTTGCTGGATCAGCCAGAGTTTTTAAATATTTCAAAGACTATTAGAAAGACAAGAAATTTGAAAATTAGGTAGCATTTATAACTGCGAACTAGTTGAAATACAGAGGTTCTGGCTAATTAGAAAGGACTACATAAACAGAATTAATTTAAGAGTATGGAGCAATAGCATTGGATTTTACAAATGAATTAATCTTGTTAGAAATTAATACTTAAGATTCTAGTTTTTACTTCAAAAATATGAATGAAATTGGAAAGACACTTACAGATATGGATGACTTGGCATTAGATGCAAGCGATTTAAAGTATTATAATTTGAATGCAGATTAGATTATAGAAGATTATTGCCCAACAGGAGAAATTATATGAGTAGATTATCCTTGGTATAAAATTGATTCAGATGTTGTTAAAGTTATTGATAAATTAGAAGTAGATTAAACATCAGATCTTGACTTATCTTAGGTATAAATGTAACATATTCCAGTGAGCCACCAAATTTAATTCTTCTAAAATGACGATGAACTAGATGGAAAGAGTTTAATATTAAATTTAACATTCAGATTAGACAGGTCTAGAACAAAAATCAGTACACTTGCTATATATAAGTTCTATAGCTGCAGCTTAAATGAACTCGTTGGCTAAATTGATGATATAAATATTGATAAGTACAAAGATAAAAACATATCTATAATTTTACCTTAATACTAATTAAAATATCCCCAATGCGATAAATAGTAAATTGATTTTTATGCTAATATACCTAGTATCTATGAAATTATTAGGCTTGACTTTCCCTAGATGGAATTTTTATCAATTTAAGGTATTGATCCAGAATTTTACAGTTAGGGAATAGTTATAGATATAGTATTCATTATTCAAGGAGAGCCTTAAGTTTAAGTATAGAAGAAGTACCAAGTATTCTTAAGGTATCTAAGTTGAATTTAAGTGGAGGAGCCTATACATTTAACTAATTATAATATCCCTGAATCATAAAAAGAGGTAATAAATGTGTTAAACACTGATGATATCATTATCAAAGCTAATCAATTTTTTGCCAGAGATTTAAAATGTTTTTCTTAACAATCAATGTATATTACCACAATTTCTTTTGATAGAAGCAGAGAATTTATGTCCTTTCAAGATGCAAAGTTTTTTGCTTATCCTGCATTAAAAAGTGTTGGTGAATACAAAGCTAATATTTGCATTTAGAATTTTGATAACTAAAGAGTAAAGGTACTGATAATGATTGAATATAATAGTCATTGAAGATAGTCCAATTAAAGTCGATGAGATTTATGACCTAAAAAATTTTGATTACTTAGGAAAAGATGCATTAAATCTACTCAGTAAATATCACAGTAAAAGGCTCTATGAAAAGCATGTAGATATTTAAAATGCTAAATTAGATGAAACTGGGTAATTGATTATAAAATTCACTGAAAAAATGTTTACAAACTAGCAGATTTTTTCTATAATTAATAGCAAAATTCTTTCTCTAAATTATATACAGATAAGCTAAAATATAGAATTGGGCTTTAATGTTGTAGATTACTTCAATTCCACTTTGAAAATTAATTTATTTTTAGAAAATCCTTCATATGTATCACAAGGGGTTTTGGGGTTTTGGGG